AAAAAAAAAAAATTTTTTTTTGGAAAAATTGGGTCGGCGGGTTATGCAAAACGAAAAATTAACTTTGCGTGGCCTTAGCTTTGTAAATACTATATTTTGAACAATATTTAACTAATTTGCTAAATTCTAATATTGCCATCTTATAAAATCTACTGATGCATTCCCTTTAGAATCTATTTTTTAGAATCTAATAATGAAATCCTTAACTGAGTCTATTTTATTCGTATTTATTTTTATAAGTGTGATTTTTGGGATAAATAGTTTTACCCCAGAAGGTAGAGGCGGTCATGTCGCCGTAATAGTTAATGATACGATTTATTTTATGGGAGGCTCACTTAAAGTTTCAGATGAAAACCTAATAAAAAAAAAGTATCCAACAAGAGGTTATAATTTATCAGATGAAGTTTTTTCCTTAGATCTTACGTCATCATTCTCTAGAGATAACCCACCATTTATTGATCTTTCTGGTGGCACTTCACGAATGCTGTATGGAAGTGTAAAGGGTTAGTTATTAAATTTACATGTTTGAACTTTATTTTATACATTCTTTATTTAATTTATCCATTAGGAACCGCAGTATTAGGTGGAGCTGGCAGAGGCGATGTGTATCTCGTTGGAGGTACATTACAAAACCTCACACTCCTTGATCAAATAGATCATAATGAAACAATATCGAATGAATCATTAATGCTAAATGAATTAATTAATACTTGGAATGTAACTGATAGAGATAATAAAGAATTAAATATTTTTGTTTACCGCCCAACTGCACAATCTTGGAAAATTCCTGATATTAAAGGAGGACCACCAATTAGACGTAGATCAACTTCAACAGTAATAAGTCAGAATGGAACGATATATATATTTGGAGGAAGAGCCGAACATGATACTGGTTCACCTGACCTTATTTTATTTAACGATACCTATATTTATAATACCGTTACGCCAGGATGGAATAAAATTAATGCAAGTAATGCTCCTTCTGCTCGAAGTCATAGTACTGCTACGTTACTTCCAAATGGTAAAATTCTCTATATTGGAGGTGTTTATCAAGATCGACCTAGAGAAGATGCAAAGCCAATTGAAATGAATGACGTAATTATTTTTATTAAATTTTCAGAATGATACTTGTTCAAAATATGCATATTATTTTTTATTAGCTTATACTAATTTTTATATAAATAGATCTCAGTATTCGACACAAATTCTTTAACCTGGTCATCCAAAGCATGTATTTTTTTTTTTAGTGTTTAACATTATATCTTACCATTATTTCTAATTTAAGATATAAACATTTAGCAAGCAACAGGCATTCCTATTCAGGCTCGAATAGGCCATACTGCGACCTTAACACCAGACAATAATGCAATTATTATTATAGGCGGAACCTCAAGTAAATATTAATAAAGTCTGCTTTCTTTCCAATATATTTAGTTTTAAACAAATATTCATTTATATGACATGTAATAGATGCAACTACTGCAAATCCGGTTTTTATAATGCTAGATATTAGAACTGAGCCTTATGAATATTCAGAATTAAAAGATTCTGGAATTCGACCGCCTACATTAGCATATCATACTGTAAATTTATATCAGAATTTTATGATTGTTGCCTTCGGTGATTATCCAATTATTATTATTACTATTATAATCTATAAATAAAACTAATTATCTTTTTTCTTGAAAAATAATGAAGGTAATATTACTAATGATAATTCTGGGTCTGTTAAAACTAATCCTTCCATTTATTTATTGTGTCTGCCGCGCCTAGAATGGGTGACCACTTTTACACCCGACTACACGTGTCCTATAATACCAAATCCACCAATTCCTTTGATTATTGGTTCGACCGTTGCTTTTTATGTGGTGTTTATTGCGACTACAGTAGCAATTATAAAAATTAATCGTCAATCATTACTGGATAATAAGTTGATGATTATTGCTAATTGCTCTATAGCGTTGATCGCAGTTATATTAATAGACATGATACTTATCATTGGATATCCACCTCCACCGATTATTATTGGGATTGTTAGTGTCATTATTGCTATTATTGTCGTAGCTATTATAACAGAAATAATACTTTTACGCCGAGAGAAATGATGGGATTTTAAATTTGAGTTAATAATAAAAAAAATTAATAATTACAGTCGCACTTCTATATAATCACCTCCTACATAAGCATATCATATTTATAAGAATATTTATTTTTTTGGATTAACTACTATTAAATATAGCGCATTCTAAACATGTCTTCTATATAATATCACTTTTTATGAATCCCGATGGTGTGATTATATGGGAATGCGACTGCAGTTATCAACACTTATTATATTCTGGGAGTAGGCAAGAAAAATTCCGTATGGTGGATCTTAGCAAAGATGCAACTAACTATTAGCAGTATATAACATCATTTAACTTTTTAACAACAAATATAAAAGATCATTTTTTAAAATTGATATATACAATTAACATCATTTAACTTTTAATAACAAATATAAAAGATTATTCTTTTAAATTGATATATACAATTTATTGCACAATTAACATCATTTAACTTTTTAACAACAAATATAAAAGATTATTCTTTTAAATTGATATATACAATTTATTGCACAATTAACTTTATATTTTTACAGTTTAAAAAAAAATAAAATTCAACGACCTTGAGTATTATGTAGTTTGTCGCTTTAGCAATATAATTCAACGTTATCCAGTATTATGTTTTTGTCGCTTTTGATAATGATGATAAAAAACCCTCCCCCGATGTCACAACTAATAATAGCGTAAATAGCATAATTATTTATTCTCTTAATACTACCATTCAATTTAAAAAAAAAAAGATATATAATCAAAGCCATCTGATATGCCGTAATATATTTTTATATCATCATACGTACCAAATTAAAATCGAAGTTACTTTTAAAACCTGAACATTATGAAAATCAATCAATTAGCTTTATATAACCTAGCAAATGAGAAAGAAAAATTCATTTTACGAAACGGGAGGGAATATTTTTGTTACGCACATAGTTTAACCGGTGAGGGATTATATATGTAACATACATTATAAAATTGAATTCAATATAAATAATTTTATAATTAATTTCACATCATGTGTGGGATTAGATGTATAACGTTCTCTCCTGTTCTTTCATGAACATCATTTAACTAAATTATTATACATAATATAACTCAAAAAATCACGGTGTTGAACTTATACATGTCGTAGAAACTATTTTGGCATTTTTCGGCATTAATTTTTGATATGAAACTGCGAAGATATCCCAGCGTTTCATATCAAAAATTAATGCCAAAATATGCATAAATAGTTTCCACAATATATATATTTAAACTGCATCTAACGCTGAAAATCTACTTTTTACTACAGTACTAACGTCTTTTAAGTTCTATCAAATAGATAGGTAATAAGATAAAAAAAATCCTTTACGTTAGTTATATTGACAGGCAGATAAGTAAATAAAATTATGCAAAAAATCTTTTTTATTATCAAAAAAATTATCTTATTTATTAAGATTTTTACTAAACGCACCTATGGTACTTTACACCTATGTATATATTATCTCAAAAACTGGCTAATTAATCGGTGAGAGGTGCCTTAAATAAAAATATTTTATGCCCAAAAAACCCTTCCCAATCCCTAACCTCAACCCTAAAAATTAACCCTAATGTGAAAAAATTAAAAAATTTGTGTTAAAAATTTTGTATAAAAAACTTATAAAAACTTAGAAAAATCCAAAGAATATAATAACAATATATAATAGGTGCAAAACCACCATAGGTGCGTTTTATAATAAATGTTTATGAATGTTATAATTTAATTAGTAGTTCAATTACATGTTTACACTTCTGTTAGTAGCGTTTCGGACTCCAACAGATTTTGCTTTCCTAATAGTTAATAATTTTGGTCATTGTTAATAAATACAG